CTGATGAGCCTGACCCCTGATGGGCTCTTTCTGAATGCCTGGAAAAGATGGCAAAAAGTGCTGTGTTTAAAAGAGAGGGATAACACAATTTGACTTTATGCTGTCTGGGTAAAAAAATATCCCCCTTGTTCAGAAGCAGGGGAACGGGTGCCTTCAGGATTGGCCAAAGGCCGGGCTGTGGTCAGGCTGGCAGGGCAGTGAGGGTGGGCCTCTTCTCTCTCCTTGGTCAGCCGGGCCAGAGGGACACAAACAGGAGCTCTGGCGACCAGCAGGAGGGAAAGAAAACATATTTACGACCTGGAACAGATGTAAAAATAAAGGCTCCTTGGCAGAAGGTTCCCACTTCGACAAGCACGGAAGAGAAACAAACAGGTCGCTCTGGATGCTGGTGGAAGAGGCGCTTGGCTTCGTGCCCGTCTCTTCGGCCCGGCTGGGCTCTGAGATCAAGCTCATGGTGTTTTTCCACACCAGGTTCTCCACACTGGGGTCAGGAAGAGCCCATGTTTCTCCCAACTCTCCCACTTCCTCCCTCCTACACAGGTGTCTCACCCCCTTTGAGCTTCTCTCCCTCTCCTCCCTCCCAGCCATCTTCACCCAGGCAGCTCATTCCTCGTGAGGAGAGCAGGGTCCTCACCAAGTGAGTGGAGCCAAATAAACTCTTCATAGTTTCAAACCTTCAATACTTTAATTAGAACACAGCCGAACTACTGACCTGGTCATGCCCTGTTTGTGGTGTGTTAGATAAAGAGAAAACACACATGGACACTCACGTGGACACACAAACACACACACCCCCACTCACATACACACACATGCGCACATACATACATTCTCACACACAAGAATACACATACATGGACACACAAACACTCACTCACCACAATGATGCCACCTTTGAAAACATCCTAAAACATATTTTGTACAAATAAGAAACACAAAAGACAATCTATGTCACTTCTCTCCTCTTAATGATGCGCTTCAGTGAATGAAACAATTGCAGACCAGTACTTGATCATGTAACAGAGAGCAATAATTATTATTAATAACTATAATGTCTGTAAATGTCTTTCAGTTATTGCTTTGGCAATACTCCCATTCTTCGGCCTGTGAATTTTAATCGGACTCTTCTGATGCAAGAGTCTGAAATGCACGAGGCCAAAAAAAAAAATGAAACTTGAATAAAGAGAGTTCTTTATTGTCCCTTCCAAACACCAGGGCCACTGAAAGCTAAAAATATATTCTGGAAATGTGGAAATTGTGACCTCCTCAGTCTGTGGTTTTGTAAAAGAAAAAGTTCTGTTCGGAATGTCGCACGTGTGTTTTTGTATTTTACAGTACCCTGGGTAAGTGCAGGCCCCAGCTGCTCTGATGGGGGTGTGGAGGACAGGTCCTACACCTAGTGCCCCCCCAAAAGTACTGACAGGAAGGCTGCTGTCCTGGCGGGTCGCTACAAAAACAGGTGGGGCTCCCCTGAAACACTGAGCCACTGTCCTGCAAATTTAGGCTGGCCCACCAGCAGGCGGAAAAAACTTAGACGGGATTCAAAATAAAAAGAAAATGACGTTGTGAGACATCCTCTTCTCACGCCAGGAGAACCTCCAGTTGCGCCAGGCCAGCTCCTTTCTGCTTCAGTGCTGACCACACTCCTCTGCGTGAGGAAGGACCTGTTCTGTGTTCCCCTTGCGGAACTGTCCTCCTGTCCCCCTTGACCCAACCTCTTTCGCTCTGTCAACATGGCAGGGGTCAGCGCGGGGTCACGGACCAAATTTACTTTCCCCTAGAAGTCTTTCCAGTAGAATCTTGGACATTTCTATTGCTGTTACTGTAAAATTCAGTTCCCATAAAACTCAGGTGTCACAGACCTACATCCTAATACCAGGAAGGCCTCTTGAATGATGTATTAAGAAAAACAAGCCTTCCAAGCACTTCCTGTGTAAAGAGTTATATAACAACACTTGAACAGCAGTGAATCAGAGGAATTCTCTACCTTCCTTTTACTGATCAGCTCTTGCCTGTCAGTCAAACAATTGTTGTTGCATAAGCGATTGAGGCAACTCAAGTTTCAGCTGCTGGAAACTGCAAAAGAACACAGTGACTGGAATCTTAAACTGACTAGAGGGAAGCTACCAAGTAAAGTGCAATGCTAGATTTATCTTCTTTGAATTAAAAAAACTGCTTTATGCTTTATTTAATTCTGTTACAATGCAGGAGGAAGGAGGAAATTAAGGTATTCAGTGCTCCCTGAAAGACACAAACAGTTGTGCCAGTAACAAAGTTGACGTGGTTTTCCATCAGTGCTGACTCACAGGACAAAGGATGTAATATTAAACTTTGCTAACTAAATAATCCTGATTAGGCATCAGCATTGTAACAAAAACAATCTCAGATTTCTCCAGCAGAAATAGTTAATGATTGTTGCCCACTTCCAGCACAGGTCAATGTGTTAGTCAGAGCACACTGCTTGAAATTAATAGGCATTCAAATCATCTGGAATCACAAGAGAGGTGACCGATGAGAGAAGCCATTCAGCCCATCTTGTAGGAGGCCAGCTGGCTATTAGCTCTGCTACCTGGGACCCCCAGAGGAAAACCTAACTTTCATCTGGGTGAAAGAAGAGAATTTCATCCAGTCTTGCTTGTCTAACAAACATGACTGAGATACACTAGCTGTCTCGGTTCTGCTTTTTCCACATTTTTGATGGATTTATCTGCTTCTGAGGAGAGCTATTTTGACTTTTGACTTGCAGTCTTGAAGAATGAAATCCAAAGAATTCCTCTTTAGATCTACATGGATAGGTGTAACGGAACTGCAGGACCTTGAGTGTTAATACTGGACTAGGCTGCTAGAGAGGGTGGGATAGGTACGCTCCAGAGACTAAGAGAAAGAGCTCAATAAGGTTTTGTACTTAGGTTATATAATGCACTCGTCTTCAGATATCTGCAAGCCAATTTCTTTCTATAAAAAGAGTTTAACACAGCAGCTGTTGTATATCTGGGATAGGATAGATCAGGTAAAGGCTCTTCCTGGGGTGGCAAACTGCAGGTTTAATCTGGCAGTTAGATGAAGTGCTCCTGGCCAAACAGGATCGGCCGGCAGAATAGGAAAAGGTGCAGATTCAACGGATATGGAAAGGCAGGTAGGATAAGGACCATACTAGGGCTGGGCAGCCCTCAGCCTACTTCCACACTTTCCCACACTAAGCAGAGGTTTTGCATGTGTGCAGGTCCTCCGCCCATACTACCTGGTTCAGAGGATCTGCTGCAGATGGGTTTCTGGTAACTGATAGCAGTGCCTTCTCCCTATATTGAAAGGACAATGAAGGCCCCCCCTTACAGATAGGTAATGGCAACACGTTGCACTCCCAACTTTCAAATGGAGCATCTAGGCATATTGGTCGACCAGTAGCAAGCATTTCTTCTTTTATTGCCAGGATGTGGCATTTAAGGTGGCTGAAAAGTCAAGACAGAAGTGTAGTCTTGTTTGATATAATTTGCTTTAAAAAGAAGAGGAGGAATGTGCGGTCATCTGTGCCTATTTGTGTCATTATGTGCCTGGCATTCAAGGAGCACAGCACTGAATTAATTTAAACTGAAATCAAATTAAAAAGTAAGACTGCAATGAAGTATTTTGCTGTGACTGATTCTTTGTACAACCTCAACACAAGATGCTTCTGAGAAGGATCTACACTGAGTTGAGATTTGGTTACTGAGTCAAAGTTAAATAGCAATTGTTAAGCATTGTTTAATTATGAGAAATAAAGTCCAGGGTTTATTCATTTTAAGAACATGAATCAGTAAAGAAAAGATGAAAAGGCTGACAAAGCATTACACACCATTAAGCATCATTTATTGATGTAATTATGCAGAAACAAAGCATTTATTAAAGATTCAAAAAATCAATTAGAAACATATATGTGTGCCAGTTTGTGAATAAGGAATCAATGATAAAACAAATAAAAGAATGTACAATAAAATGGCTTGAAAGGCTTTCATTTCTTTCTTCCTGTTAAAGGCTGTGTGGTCAGTCAACAGTGGGTGTCATTTACAACACGCAGTTAGTACGGTAAGTCACACTATTCCTGATAAGTTCCTGAACACTGCTGGTCACAATACTGTTGGTACGTTATGTGGAGAAACAATTTTTAACATCTGAAAAAAAATAAAATGTAATTTACCTAAAGACACCTGTGAAGTAAAAGACAGAAAATATCGTTGCAGAAAATTTTCCATATTTTCCTGATGTCCACTAGCCTTGCACTTTTCTGAGGACACTACTATAACATCTAGCCAACAGCACTTAAATATGAACCTATGAAACTCTGGGGCTCTTTGAGTACTGCTCACGGAATACAGAAAGGCTGTAGTACAGTTCAGAAAGCTGCAGAAAGGCCTATTTGTTGCCACACACGCAAGCACCCAAAACAGGGGCTATTCTGAGAACAACAAGGGGAGCTAATCTAAAACTGGCACAGTCTCCAGATCTTATCGTACTGGGTTTCAAATCTGTGTTCGTACATTCCTCCCGTTACGTGAGGACTGAGCGCCTGCTACAGGTCAGGGAGAGAACTACAACAGCTGGCAAATTCCCAAACAGGGCAGGGGAGACGGACGGAGGCGTTCCGGTCCCTTCCACCGTTCTACTGGTCTCAATCGTCTTCCCACAATCAAGAGTGGTGAGCTCCTCGCTGCAGTGGAGTGGAGTGTGTGCAAACCTCTTTCTCACGGCTCACACTGCACAGCTCTTCCTCTGAGGAGGGAGCAGAGATTCCCCCCTTGTAAGGAAGGGAAGCAAGCATGAGTTATGGAGCCCCCCCCCCACCCACCAGCCCCAGGACCCTTCTCCTCGTTAGGGCTTCACAACTGCAGCAGTGGGTGACCCTTCAAAGGACACAGCGAGATCCCATGGCTGCACTGCTTGGCCGTACGAGGATGCTGTGTGGACCCTGTGTAGCCTATTTCAGCGTGCAAAATCGGAAATAATCAACACACAAAATCAAGGGGTCATGAGATATCAAAGTATTTAATGAGATATGAAACAGCCAGGGGGATCACTGTTTCCCTGTTGCGTCTCCAGCACGCCTGTCATAGTTGCTGACCTCTATCAGGTTGCCATCGGGATCCCGGAAGTAGACGGAGGTGATGGGGCCCACGGCGCCTGTCCTCATCACAGGACCCTGCTCCACTGTCACCCCGCAGCCCTGGAGACACAGACCCACGGTGAGCACAGCAGCTTCACAACCGGAACACTGTCCGTTGCTGATCTAGTATTCCCCTACGCCCCAGGAGATGAAGAACTGGGGTAGTATCCTGGAAGTAAAATCCCTCCTCACCAGCTTTAAAAGACCAGAAGGAATTAAAAACAGCATGCAGGATCAGAGCACCAAGGACTTTCACCGCAGCTCACACAGCTGGACATATGTGTGTTGAAAACTCAGGGGCCCGTGCATTAGGTTTCACCCAAAAAAGGTCTAAAAGGAAGAGACAATGAAGGAATCGGCCCAGTGCTGCCCTCACCTGGAGGTGCCGCGTGACTGCGGGCAGCGGGGTGTGAGTGACCAGGCACAGGTCTACGGAGCCTGGCGTGGGGCGCAGGGCTTTGGGCTCAACCTCCTGCCCTGCCTGGTGGAGGTTCAGCTTGTGGCTCCCGAAGCGCAGAGCCTTCCGATTGCCCTGGGGCAGGTCCGGGAGAGAGGGAAAGGGCGATCAGCTCAGAGGTACACAGGGGGCAGCGCTACGGTCTGCATTTGTGTCTTTTTCTCTTCTGGATTGCAGGACTGTGCATTTGCAGTTAACAACAAGAACCTGACACTTATAGAGCGCTTTTCTGGGCACCCCACTGAAAGTGCTTTACAGGTATTGGGGACACCCCTCCACCACCACCCTTGGATGATGCGCCAGCAGCCAGAGTGCACCAGTACACTCCCCAGACACCAGTGGGGAGGAGAACAGTGATGAAGCCAGTTCAGAGATGGGGATTATTAGGAGGCCATGATTGGTAAAGGCCAGGGGGAAATTTGGCCAGGACACCTAGGTTACACCCCTACTCTTTTTGAGAAACGCCCTGGGATTTTCAACAACCACAGAGAGTCAGGACCTCGGTTTTACATCTCATCCGAAGGACGGTGCCTGTTTACAGTATAGTGTCCCCGTAACTATACTGGGGGATCAGGACCCAAAGACTGCATGGTGAGCGCCTCCTGCTGGCCCCACTTACACCTCTTCCAGCAGCAACCTTAGTTTTTTCCCAGGAGGTCTCCCATCCAGGTACTGACCAGGCTCACACCTGCTGAGCTTCAGTGGGCTGCCAGTGTGCCAGTTGTGATATGACTGCTGGCAAGGAGTTAAAGCTTAATAATGTGCCCACATTCGCAGAAAACATTCACATCAGCCTGAAAGGTCTTTTAAACTGCTTTTATCATTTGAGCGGACGCTGACTGGAATTGATGTGCTCAGACTGAAGATTGAGTGTTTAGTGTTCACTGGAGTGTTAAATTTGATTTTACAGTAAAGCTCTCTACAATTACAGCTTGTTAGCAGGATCAAACCCCTAACTTATTATGCCTGGAGTTACAGAATTCTTCAAGCCTGGCATCAACAGGCACCGAATCTGTAAACAGCTGCGAGGCAATGGCAGGGGATCTAAGAAAGTTCCAGGCAGGAAAAGTCGGAATTTGTTTTAGGTGGATTGGAAAGAAAAAAAAAGAAAGAAAAACAAGGTTCTGCGGCACACTCTGTATGTGCTGCTGCCCCCACCTAGTGGACAGTAGGAGGTACTACACCAATCCAATCTGCAAGTTGTACTCAAAGTCACTATCTGCTAATTCCAGCGGCAGCTCTATATCACGGTACCTGGAAGGTGACGACCTCCATGCCCAGCACCCTGGAGTAGAAGGCCAGGGAGTCTGGCACGCTCCTCACCGTCAGCACCAGATGGTCCAGACCGTGGATCTGGATCGGCGATGGGATGGAGCTGCAGAACCTGGCTGGAGTTGTGACCCGGCTGGCCAGGAACTGGGACAGAGACGTAGATCTTACATCAGGACAAAGCCGGGACGGTCTGATTTGCTGCTCTGCGTGTGGACAGTTACTAACAAGTATTCACTCATTCATATTTAATTAACTTGTAAACCCGTTAATGTAGACTTCGTTAAGCTCATTTTAAAAACTGCACGATTTTAGCTGGATCAATGCCAGAAAAAAACGTATATTCAATCTAATTTGTCAGAAAATATGAAGCCAAAATCCAGAAATCAGCTTCCTGGGAAAGGTCAAACTGATTCTATTCCAGCGGGCACGCCAGTAAAAAGCAGGTTGATCTTTTAGGGAATACGATTAGGTATTCCTACTTGAGTAGCCGCAACCAGTAGTTTCAGTAATAACAATAGTCTGGTATAACTCCAGCAATATATAAAGTCGAATCGAAACAGGGCTCTGAAATAACCAGCAAAAACATGTGTGAAACAACCCTCCAATCTAAACACATCAATGTCTATGTTACGATCTGACAATCACTGAGCTCGATGCTCGATTCGTCTCCCTGGGTCGAATGACTAAAGGAAACAAATCCGCTGTTTGCAGTGCCTCCGAACTGGAAAACGCACGGGAACAAACTCTAAAGCACAATAAATTCACCAATTTTTTTAACCTATCTGGTGTGTTTTAAGAAGGCAAGGGTAATCCAGAACATCTGGCAAAAAAAAACCCCACAGACTCGGGGAGAACATGTAAACTCCACACAGAAAGCGCTCCGGTCATTAACGTTTAGACATCAGGATTCACCGCCACGCCGCTGTGCCGCCCCACTCAAATTTCGCTGGTATGAAAATGATATGTAGGGGGAAAAATGAATTCTTTAAATATAAAAACGACCCGAATATTTTATTTCAGCTGAACTGCTCGTGGCTTACAAGCATAATAAAGATGTCACTGCCAGCAAAAGCCTGCGCCTTTCCCCACCGGACGTGAACTCGGGACAGAAATTCAGTGTCTTCAATATCTTCCCCATCCGGATACTGCTATTAATGGGGTTTGATTTCCTTCTTTACGTAACTCTCTGGCAAGGAAAACCGCGGCCATGACTGAAGTTACAGGGTCCTTAAACTTACGAGAGCTCGGTGACGTTGCTTCTAGTGTTGAAAAGTGATCTCTTATTCCGTACGAAGCCCAGATAAACAATTAACTGTCTTACCTTGTAACAGAAAAGTCTCCATTGCACCGCGGAGTACCAGCGGGTTCTTAAAATCACCATTGCTTTAGCACCTGAGAACTTGAAACTTGATAAGGGGGAAAAATAACAAACGCGCTATTGTACTATGGCAGTACCGTAAAACGTAGAATACAGGACCTTTTACCGTATTTCCCTTCAGGAATAGGCATCTTCTGTATGGCTTTCTGGTTTCTGGTGTTTTTTCTGTTTCTTTCGCTCACTATTGCTCATTTTATAAGTATTATCATAATTTGAATTAAAACGTGCAAAAATAAAAACTTGAGAAGAATATCAAACCAGTTACAAACTAGGGGAGGCCATGCTTTGCTTTTTTCAGTAGCTACTTGAACCAAAGATCTCATACATAATTGAAAGAAACTAGAGTAATATGGGTGGTCCGCATGTTCCAGACTCCCACAACCCTTGGTGTAAAGAGAGGCATCCCATTCTCGGTTTTAAATGCAACTCCCATTTCCTCTTGCTTCTTTCTGTTCATGTTACACTGTTGATTCTGAAGACGTCCATACTTCCTCAGTGCCTTTGAGAGTTTTAACAATGGATGTTAAAGTCCCTTGACATATATAATGATATATCCTAACAGTCTGTCTGCCTTGTTTTGTTGCTTCCCCACATTGCCTGGAAGATAAAATCGATGTCTAAACACCTCTCATTATTTGCCTCTTCAAGCTCTGTATTATCCATTTTATATTTGCAGTTTTTGTCTTTTCCTAAGTTACATTACTATTGTTATATTACTTATTAATGTATTATTCATTAATTACTCATTAACTAAAAATTAAATTATTAAATACAAGGCTTCTCAAAACCAGGGGTATTCCCAAACCACGCTGTGC